TCCATCACAGTTAACTTGGGGCTGCATATTGCCCATATAAACCAAAGCCATTTCATATGTTTGGCACAACCTTACATGTTAATTTATGTTCAAGTGTTATAGACAGAAGTGAAGAACATGTACTTTATCATGAACTTTAGATACTTTATCATGTACATATATCCATGACCATCTAGAACCATCTGAGCTCCATCCATTTATTAAGTAATAGTTGGTTTTTTTTCCTAAGGGTATCATGGATTAGCCTGCCATCTAAATAAAAATGATAATAAAAAATGAAGCTTTATGTTAGAAAGGAAAATGACAAATAGGAGTTTAAAGAGGTTGACCTCACTTAACCTGTACCAAATACTTAGCTTTTGGTAAATCAGCAACTTGCCTTAATTTCTTTTTCATTTTTTTCATGTCTGAAAGTTCCAGGCCACCAATGATAGGATTAACCAAGAGGGTTTGAGGATGAACAAATGAGTATATGATGACAACACAAAGTAAAGAAAGGATTCTGATTTTTGTTTCTCCTACATCAGCAGTGTGGACAATTGAGAATTGAAAGTGAATGTAACATTAACTACAATTGAAAAAGACATTGCTATCTTAGCATTCTCAGGACTGACAGAGTTAAGTGTGCAAAGTACAGGATTAAGTAACAATAAAATGTACACACAAGTACAAAAGTGAAAATTCTTAGTTTACAGAACATGACCTCAATCTTTCTGAAGAGAAAAAAAAGTGTCTTCTGTATTCACACGTTTTTCTTAGATATCTAAATTAATTGCTTAATACACTCCTATGAGTCTTAGGGACAATTCTGAATTACAGAGGAAATGCTTTTATGAAATAAACTCACAGTTATTCTGTCTTGAAAGTAAACCCCACAATTCTAAAAGGAAAAGCTGACATGTATTTGCAGATACTAAAATGTTTGGTCTTATAGGAAAAAAAGGTTCTTTGAAGTAGGCACAGAGGAGTTCCACATGACACCAATAAGATATTGTAAAAATTGCACCACTAGACAAATACTGCTACAAGAAATCATTTGAATAAGCACACAGCCATCAAAGCATCTCCCACACAGTCATTATAATTCACTCTTTCACACTAGTTTATATACACTGAGTAAGTCATTAAATATTGCACTTATTGGCCCATGAACCCTCAATTCTGAGGTGTTGAAGATAGAAAACAAATCTATTTTTAGAACATATTTCATGCAACATTTAAGACATTTCAGTTCTACAAACACCATTTAAATAGTTGTACATATAGACAGTCCAACTGTATCACATCACGTCTGACATTAACAATATATTAACAGGAATTACAGGAACAATTTTCATTGAGCACACTTCCATAAAGTTGGAAAACCGTCATATGGACACAGAAAAAAATCCCCAGACTTAATTTTGACATGGAGTATGGAACCACTAGTCAGATGTAGGTCCTGCTCATGTCCCTGAAATGCCAGGCATCTGTGTGGTTCACATACCATCTGTATCTCTAGGAATAGCACTCATAACCCTAAGCAATTCTGAATGCCAGACAACATGAATATAATGATATTTCCGTTTATCAGTAAAGTCACATAAACTCTCAGTTGTCCACAATGAAGGCAAGTATGAACACAGGTGAGTGAAATATACAGATAATCCAGCCTCAACTCAACAAGTAATGATTGGTGGAAACTCCACCAATAATAGTTGCTGGTGGGAGATACATTGTGAAACGCAAGTCTCATTTTCTAGTCTTGATCCTGTCATTGAATGAAGAGTTCTTTAAAAGATGATTAAAAACAAACAAAATGAGGATATAAAAAAGAGAATTGTAAAGAGTAAGTTTAATTTGTCCCACTGGCTGTATTATCTGATCTTAATACTTAAGTTTTTATGTGACGTTTTGAAATAGTTCACTTCTGTTATTTAGAAAGTTTGGAAAAAACAATGGTATAACTCTCCATCCTCTCTGGGAATTCATTATGTAGATAACCCAGATTAATCAAACCAGTGTGAAAAATCAATTCCACGGATCTTTTAACAAAGATGTGAGTTAGAGTTGGCACATAGCAAACATTCCCCTTTCCCTTCCACTGAGAAAGCACCATGGATGGAATTTTTTCCCTTCACTAAAATATGTCAATGTCTGTTAGTAAATGTGTGTTGGGAGAGACAGCACTAACTATGGCCCAGGGGTAAATATTTCAATCTACTTAAGGGACATATTATTTGACTGGAGAGTCAAGCATTTCAATAAAGGTTTAAAAATGCATTTGTTTATGAAATACCCATAGGTAGATATATTTGATAAATCTGCCCCAGCCTGTGTTTGGTCCTTCACAGGGCATTCTATTTCTAGAATCTAGAGCCCTTTAGGTATGGTGTGAAGGTAAATAAATTTTACTTTCATGTAGTTATTAACTTTCTCTTTTACTAAGTTGGTCCAATTAGTTCTAGGGTATAAAACAAGATGTCTGTAACTTACTTTGGTCTAAAATTCACCAAAAATATAGAGAACTCTACAAAGCTGACCCTATCACTCAAAGGTTTTAGTGTATCAACAAAGACTTTACCAGTTTCCCGGCAAGCTATTTCAAGGACAGGTAGTAATCATAGACAGGCATTGCGGAGCAGAATTGTAGAGATTGCATTTTTCCGGGAGTGAGTAGAGAGGCCACATGGGTCTAGTGGCTCACGTGGCACCCTGATCCAGCACACTGAGTGAGGATGTGCACCACGGAAAGAGTTCCAGGGACTTGCCATGGCGGAATATAACTGACACAGGAAGGATTCCCCAGACAGGCAAGCGAGCTCTGAAATCTCCCACACCAAAACTATCTGAATGAGCATTCCAACAGTACTATGAAGGTTATCAACAGACTAACTTTTTGGTCTAGAACAGTTTTCATTCATGACTTTAAAATAAGATTTTTATCATATCACAGGCTTTCACATGCAGCTGCTACCTCCTCTTGGTATAGCTTGGTAGAGTTAGGATACATTGTTAATAGATTCTGACAAATGTCACACAGGTAACCTAAAGATTTTAGGACAACCTCAATCATGCACTAAGATACATGTTGGATAAAGCATGTCACAACACTGGTTATGAACAACACCACTCCAAAATTAAAGTCATTCCAGGGAAGTTCAGATACTAGTAGGATGCATTTCACTTTTAAAGGAGAATATTGTATACCTGAAAGTTTATTTTTATTAGCATAGATGCAGTTAAAATGAGAAGAGTTAACATCGGCTCCTGAAAAATGACACAGGTGCTAAAGAAACAAAAGTTCTATAATTCCTCTGGGAAAGAGTCAAGTAGGTGAAATGTATATTTTTAATAGAATGTGATGACCTTTTGCATTTGAATAGTTATTTTGTAGAATTTATATTTCACACTAAAGGCATCCTAATAGTCCATTTTCAGATACAAATTTTAGCACTTATTTATTGGGAAGTAAAGGGATATTGAACTTCAAGTGACCCCAAGAAGGAGATATATCAACCTTACTTCTGATTTACCTTTACCTTGCATTTTAGTTTCTGAGATTTGGAATCTGGGTGTCCAATGAAATTTAATGAAACATAAATATTTTCTTGTCTTAGTAAGCTAAGATTTGCCCAGCAGTAGAAATTGACTACCAATTATTGTGGATTTAAAACTAAAAGTGCAAGAAGTAACATGGATATACTTAAATGTTCCAAATATTCCCTCTTGTAAATTTCATCTAGTTACTAATAATGTATGTGACCTAGTTTCCTGACTTGGAGACATTTATTCTAGAGATATTTTTAAACATATACATATTGTCATCACAATTGCTTGGCTGATTAAATTTGTGCCTGATACTTCCATGAGAAATTTCCCTCTAGTTTTGAAAAGCGTGGGGAAAAAAATCTGTAATACAATTAAAAAAAAGAGAAAGCCCACTTGTGGGCACTGTCCTTCCAAATCTGTCTGGCTGGTGCCTTCCTAAAATCCTTGCTGTAAATAAAACTGGACCATGATAAAGACCCGTATTTCTTGCCAATGCTCAGCGTAACTATTATTGTTTGCTTTTTATTTACATATAGTCTTCAGGAAAGCTAGGGCAAAATCTGGATGTTCAAGGGTTATTTCTCTCTCTCCCAAATTGCTGTGGATTCTAAATGTGGCTGACCTCTCAGCCATAAAGAGTATTTTTTGTGTAACCTAAACATGTTTAGAGATGTATAGATGGGAATATGTTTTAGAAATATAAATATTGGGGTTGAAAAATGTTAAAAATGCAAATGGTCTTTCCTCAGTTTGAGATACATTGAAATAGTACTCATGTATTAAATAAGAATAAGGGTAAGAAGGGGAGGTTTGAATAGAAGATAATTGTTGAGGAACCTGGTCTTCCTCCTACAGGAAGATGAACCCTAATAAACTTTGATGTAATCTCTATTCCAAGGATTGCTGATGGTTCCAGACAGTGATGGTGGTGATGGTGTTGGTGGTGGTGATGGGATATAAGTGTATTATGGGGGAACCAGTTATTAAGGAAATGTACCTCTCTGTGTGATCACTACTCTAGAATAGTTAGTCTGGATAGAAACAATGAAAAGAACAGTGTTTGGGTAAGTGTATCTGCTTATTTTAAACACTGTAAACTAAACATGTAGTCTTAATAAAGTTAATGACTTGGGATATCTGTAAAGGCTTTACAAACAACATATCAACTTCTTTATAGTCAGTGTGCTCCTCTGCATTCTTAGTAAGAGTGAACAATAGCTATATTTCTTAATGCTAAACTTTCCAGACCTGTCAGAGTGTCCCTAATCAAGAGCAAACTTTTGAACTGATTTTCAGCTGAGAACAGCTGAAATCTTCTCCTGCTCATACCTATTCACAATTCCTTGTGAATAGCATAATTTGAATCGGTGGCACAAAAGTTACTTGTAGTGAAATTAGTCCCAGCAGTAGCTTAACTAAGAAATTTGTTTTAAAAAAAGAAGAAAGAGCCTCAAAGACAAATAAATAACAAGTCACATGCAAGTCCCAGATGTTTATAGATGATGAACAGTCCTTACAAATTTAAGATCATATGTTTGCCACATATTAACACAGGAAATCTCCCACGATTTGAATGCATGTACAGGCCATTGACATTAAAGACTTCCTTCAAATAATTATTAGGCAGTATAAGTGAAGGCTAGTAGGCCATTCATAAATGGTGCTTCTTGGCAACCAGAGCTCCCGCCTGTGGGAGGGGCCATTAACAGCCACAGTTGGGCTGTGGGGGAGGAGGGGTTTCCTTGAGTCTTGTGCTCTGCTTTGCGGCAGTGATGGCAGGGTCGCTCTCCAAACTCTCCGACATTTTATCACAGATGATATCCACAAGGCGTTCGAATGTTTGCTTGACGTTAATGTTGTCCTTGGCACTTGTTTCAAAAAACTCAAACCCTGGAAGAAACACACAGGAACACATCCAGGTCATGTCACGTCTCTGAGACACACGCGAGTTGGTTTTAGTTTTGAATGGTGACAAGAAGGGTAGTGGGTAATGAATGGGTTGGGTTTGGGTGAGAGATGAGTGGGCACGAGGTATCATTTGAGCAGATGCCACCATCTTGATGGTCCCTGACCATGAACTGAAGAGCTAATAGGTGGGATTGGTCAGACACATTTTGTCTCCACTGACTCATTTGCTTCCAGCATAGCTGAGTCCATTTAATTTTTTTGCAAGAGTTAGTAGCAATGACAACATTAAAAACCGTCAACACCAAAATCTACCTTTCTTGTCTTTTTCTTCTACTCCTGAAACAGATAAGCCATTATGTGAACATTCTTCTGAGAAGGAGATGACTAAGTTCCAATATCATCCAGCTCTAATTTTTGCTGTCCTGACCTGTCTGAGGGAAGCTGATTCTAGTGAATTTTTTAAAGTACCTGATAGGACACAAGGTGGCACTAAAGAGCCACAGGAGTTACCTTAAGGCTGCTTCAACCTCCTTTAGATTTTTGAAGTGTTAGACTAATAGCTCTCCAAGGCTTTGTAAACCAATGCTATCTATTGGATGCTGTTTTATTCCCATAGCTGTGTTATTTATTGGCAGCAATGTTTTAAAAGCCAATAACTGGGAAAGGACACTTGATAAATTATAAACACACAGCAAAAATTGCAAGAAAGTACAACATGCAGAGACAATCTCACACTTTCCCTGATGTACCAGGTGAGGCAGCCTTGTGTGCTGCTCTAGACACATCTTATCACCCCCATTGTTTGCATTCACATTCCACTGGCTTAGCTTGCCAGTCAGTTGCCATGACAACTTTCCCACTAGGCCAGCTAGAGATTGCTCTGGTCCAGTCAGGGGATGTTGATTTAGGATGAGTTGGGCTGAACACAGAAAGGATTTTCTAATCCACATGAATTTTACACCCTATAAATCCTTCTGGTTACATCTGGTCTTATCTCATAGGAGCCACATGGATTCAGAATGATTAAATCAGCTGATTTCATCCCAGTTCCTCTTCTTCCTCAGAGGAAGAAGAATAAACAAATACTTTACCTCTATGTAAAAAATCCCCTAGCTAACAAAGAAGTAGTTAATTTCCTAACTAGTATGGAAAGATAGAAAACATAAATATAATTCTCATGAATTAAAATTTCTCATTTGGTTATGACACTATTTCAAATGATCAGCTGACTAAGCCCCAGCTTATGCTTCACTAGCTACTCTATTGTTAAAATCTATGAGAGTAATTGAGGGGGGAAAAACCTACCCCAAATCTCATTAGCAGACCCAAAGTATCTGGGTCTGTAACACAGAGATGGGGATTTCAAACTGTGGGTTATTTTGTCATTATGTCTCTCTAGACAAAATTTATGTTTATGTAGTTCTTCTATAGTCGGCACTTCCTTATCTACAAAAGAGACCACCCAGTGTCACATTTGTACAGTCTATGAGGCTAGATTCTCACCTTTCAATAGCAGATCCATACTTTAGGAGAGGAAGTTTGGATATTAGAATGATCTACATTCTACTTGCTCAAATTCCACTACTCTTTCTCAGTACTGATGCATGCCTTAATACCAACAGCTACTCCTGAAACCAAGATGTGGTATGAGGCTAGCTGAAGCCAAAACATCAGGCCTTACCTGAAAGCACAAAAGGCTTAGAGTATATATAGCTCAAGAAACAGAGCTGCTTGCCTAAGCAAGATTGAGGCCCTGAATTCAAACCCCAGTACAGCAAAACATAGACACAATATAGCAAAGAGATTGACTTGATTTAACACCGTCAGTCAACGAAACGGGACAATCTTTCACAGTATTTTAAAAAGTTTTCTTGTGTCTTGTTCTACTTAAGGTCATCAAGTTAGTCATTTTGACAGCTGTTATCTCTAAAACAATAATAGTGTTATAAAAGATTTCTGAAATTAGTCTGCTTCTCATTGACCAGTCATATAAGTTTATCACAAAACAACCTATCCAAAATTATCTTAGCATTAAAATAATCATTATTAAAGCTTTACTCTTTAAGTGTTTAGATTCAAACCATGTGGGAGGATACAATGCAGTCTATGATTCTCTCTCCAGTATCTTCATTCATCTCTCAGTGTCTTCATTCATACCCCAGTATGACTCTCTAATTTCCCTTAGTATAATGTCCTCACAGTTTATCTATACGGTAGTATTATCAAAATTTCTTCTTCTTAGGGTGGAATAATACCCCATTATATATAGATCAAAGTTGGCTGATCCAGTCCTAGTTGATGGACACTTGGCTTCGTTGTATCTTTTGTCAGTCTTTTAGTTCTATCTTTTTGTCCGTCATGCTGCTATGAGTATGAGTGCACTACAAAGGGTAAGTCTCAAGCTTTTCGATGCATAAAGCATCCAAGTACCCTGATAAAAATGTGTGTCTGAAGACCCACTCCCTTGCCTCAATTCCAGCTTGGGGGTCTCAGGTACAATTTAGAAGCTTTCCATTCATTTTGAGTGGTTCATTCATTTTGAGTGGTTCTCATGCAGGTGAGCTTCCAATCTAGGAGGTGGAATAGAGAAGCACCTAACTGTGTTCATAGATGTTCAAAGCTCACAACCTAAGTTGTAACCACAAACCAACCACCACAGCCGTTAATATTACAATTCACTGGATTTTGTGGGCCATCGTCTCCTCGTGTCTCAGTAGTATTTCAGCCTCAACAACAGCAACATAAGCTTGTTTTCAGAAATCTTTATCCTCCCATTCATCCACACCATCAATGGGAAGCCAATGTCAGTCCATGATGCCTCGGAAACCACATCTTATAAAGTGATTTTTGAATACCACTTTCAATTTACTGGACAGGAAAATGTGGCTCATCAAGATCAATGAAGGTCATTCAGCAACCTGGCTGTCAAGCTTGAGAAAGAGGTTAAATAGGTTACCCATTTGGCTTCCAGGCATGGACACCTGTCCCTCAGACTACATCATCTGCTATTAATAACTTCAGCATACACATGTCTTCATCAACTAATCAGTGAGCACTTGGAATAAGCCATAGAAACTCTGATCCTTGTTTCTTGTTCCTCCCTGTCAGAACCTTTCTAGTTTCTCCTTGGCAGAGGCCACATGGCTACAGAGGTGATAAGCATCGCCTTGTGGTCTGAACATCTCTGTTTTAGGCTTTCTCCTGCATGATTTGGAAAGGATCACTTCTACCCTTTCCAAAAGCCATCACAGGCACCCCCAGACACTGCTCTACATTGGATCTCTTAGTTTTAGGAAATGGACAAAAGGCTTGGGAAGATTTTATATGGAAAAATACATGAGCTATATTGAGGAAAGAAAGAAACTCAAAGCCAATCTTGTATCTATTTGTGTGTGTGTGTGTGTGTGTGTGTGTGTGTGTGTGTGTGTGTGTGTGTGAACATATGCATGTGTGGATCACCAAAGGAGGTAGAAAAGACAGGGTGAAAAACAGATTTCACGCAAGGCCCAAGGTGTCTGCTTCTCTATTCCACCTCCTAGATTGGAAGCTCACATGCATGAGAACCACTCAAAATGAATGGAAAGCTTCTCAATTGTACCTGAGACCCCCAAGCTGGAATTGAGGCAAGGGAGTGGGTCTTCAGACACACATTTTTATCAGGGTACTTGGATGCTTTATGCATCGAAAAGCTTGAGACTTACCCTTTGTAGTGCACTCATACTCATAGCAGCATGATGGACAAAAAGATAGAACTAAAAGACTGACAAAAGATACAACGAAGCCAAGTGTCCATCAACTAGGACTGGATCAGCCAACTTTGATCTATATATAATGGGGTATTATTCCACCCTAAGAAGAAGAAATTTTGATAATACTACCGTACAGATAAACTGTGAGGACATTATACTAAGGGAAATTAGAGAGTCATAACAAGAAAATGACTGTATGTTTCTACTTAAAGAGGTCCCTGGTGTAGTTAAATTCACAGAGATAGAATATTGAATGGAATTGGCTGCAGGCTGAGGGGAGGGAGCTAGAGAAGATGCTTAATAGGTACAGAGTTTCAGTTGTGCAAAGAGAGGAGAGTTCTAGAGACTGGTCACACAATGTTCTTAACACTACTGAGCTGTACATTTGAAAACAGTTAAGAAGACAAATCTCATTTTTATAGCACAATTTTAAAAGATTCACATAATTTCTTAGCCTTTTGGCTAAAATCAAGTACAAAAATGTTTACTATCACTACGTATTGCTGGGCATTTAAAATAATAGTGCCTCTTTGGAAAGCGGTCTGGAAGTTCCCCCAATGTTAAACAAGCAACTAACTGACTCATCAATTCTACTCTAGGATATAAATACTAGAGAAATGAATACATACAACCACATCAAATTATGTTCATAAAATTTCTATTAGTAGTATTAGTCATATTAGACAAAGAGCTCAAATACCCACCAACTGATGAACGGATAAATAAAATGTACTATAGCCATGACAAATAAGGAAATACTAGTACATTCCACAGAAAGAGTAAACCTTGGAAAGACAATGCCAAATGAAAGAAGCCAGTCATAAAAGACTACACATTATATAATTCCTTTTATATGAAATGTCCAAGAAATAGATTACTTAGGCCAAGAAATAGATTACTTTTTACTTAAGGGCAAGATAAGAAAGCCAAGGGAAAGGAGGAGTAAATGCTAAAGAACACAGGATTCCTTTCTGTAGTGATGAAAAGATTCCAAATTAGATAGAGATGAAGGTTGCCAGCTCTGTGACTGTAATAAAAATCAGTGAATCCTCTATTAGAAAGGCCTTCCCACCCCAACACAAACCCTTCATGTGGGCGTTTAAGTCTAAGCCTCTAAGCCTGTGGTGATGATAGCAGCTGATAACCAGGTAGGGCACTCCTTGGTATGCTAGTGAACCTTATGCTGTATGTATGGATGGTGGCATGGGTCAGGCTTCTGGGCACCATTCTCTA